GTACCTTGTGATACCTTATTCCATGAGGTCGGTACCTTCTGGTAGCTATTTCATGAGGTCGGTACCTTCTGGTAGCTATTTCATGAGGTCCGTACCTTCTGGTAGCTATTTCATGAGGTCCGTACCTTCTGGTATCTATTCCATGAGGTCCGTACCTTGTGGTATCTATTCCATGAGGTCGGTACCTTGTGGTATCTATTCCATGAGGTCGTACCTTGTGGTATCTATTCCATGAGGTCGGTACCTTGTGGTATCTATTCCATGAGGTCTGTACCTTGTGGTAGCTATTCCATGAGTTCGGTACCTTGTGGTATCTATTCCATGAGTTCGGTACCTTGTGGTATCTATTCCATGAGGTCGTACCTTGTGGTATCTATTCCATGAGTTCGGTACCTTGTGGTATCTATTCCATGAGGTCGTACCTTGTGGTATCTATTCCATGAGTTTCAGTACCTTGTGTTAGCTATTCCATGAGGTCTGTAACTTGTGGTACCTTATTCCATGAGGTCGGTACCTTGTGGTAACTATTCCATGAAATATTATGCATCAGCATCTGGAACACATGTTGAATTATCACAAGATAATAAACTTAAAATAAGATTCAAAACTCGAGCGCTTTCGAATAGTTAACCATTCTTCTTCATGAGAACAAGATAATAGACACACTGTTCACACTTTTTGAAATGTAAGAACTGCTTTATGAGATGTTAATCTATATTTTTATATAGGAGTGAAGAATCTGCTTAAAAGACAAGAACTGAGTAAGGAACTAATTTCAAGAACCACCTATCTATCAGTGTACCAGGTGTGAAGTGAAAATGCAATAAGTAACTAATATGGCAAACCACGAGCTCATTACTTGACCTCGGTGTTAATACTAACTATAACAAATGTTTCACCTCTTCTCTTGCATCTTCATCTTTATTTTCCATCCCAGGTGTTGCTTTTTTGTCCAAGTCTTTGGAACTTTGGAGTGACAGATACAGGTTCAATGCCTAAGAACAAGTTAAGCTCAGTTTCATTTTCTTAAAGTACACTTCAATATCAAATCAAATTTCTTATACAAAAGTCAGAAATTCTCAACAGTTTAATTTGCCTTATTTTAAGTTTCATTTAAAACTACAAGCCTTTACAAAACATTTACCCTTAATCATTAATACAAATTCTTGAAGGTTACAAGGTACCTAATAATGTACGAATCACACAAAACGTTTAAAACAAATGCTATCAATGTTGCATTACTTCCAATATAAGACATAAGTCATCTTCTATGCATTTTACATACAAAATGAGCCATTTTACCCAATTTTATGGGTTAATATTTTACAAAATAAGTAATAAGTAAAAAAAAATATTATTATTCAATATGACGTGATATACAGACCTCACCAATAGTGAAATTAATAAAACAAGTTATTTGAAGGTGAAATTAATCATGCTGACCAGTTGCTAACATGTCAAGATATATGTAGGCTTAGTTTGAAGTAACTGAGGAAATTAGATACAGCAAAAAAAGTGCTTGGAAATACTGAAGTGCTTATGTTGGTTGAATTTCACTTACAGATACAGTGAAGAAACCCACTACAACAACTGTGTATTTGTCTTACATAAAGTTTAAAAGGATACCTTAATGAGCAAAGGAGCAGCAATCAGACCGAAAGCAGGCATGTATAATCCTATGGACACATATCGACGAGTTGAGGGGAGCAAGTAAAAGAAAAAGGACTGGTGGAATCTTTCCAGTAAGTTGTTTAAGCTGCGAAAAACCCCTTCAATCACTCTAAAAACAAAAACAATAAAAAAACCTTGTATAAAATTGTTCAAACTAGATTTGCAAATATTCTACATGTTGCATTGCTTAGGAATTTTATCTAAAACAAATAATAAGCAACTACATTAAAAACATACTAAAGTCTGGAAATACCAAGAAATAGGTATACCTGTCAAAAATTAAAAGAATTACTTGTTAATGTTTCAGCCGAATAATTTTCATTATAACCTCTAAAACTGAGAAACATTATTAATACATTTACATAAAGAGTACTTACCATTAATTACTTAAACAGCCTCCTATTTATCCAAAACGGCTGATTAATTTTGTAATTTAGACTAGTAAGAAATATAGGATAATGTTTCACATACAGTTAAAGATGATTTCATAAACTCATTAGTTCAGACATTTTTATGCTACCTTCATGAACAAACATACACACACAAACATTATGTTTTATGATTCTATTTAATCCTTTTGCTACACGTAGATCAGTGTGCATGTCACGACCTTTTACAGAGTTACGTTCAAAATTTAATTACACTATTTTATCATCAATGTGTACGAATGAACCTGACATCAAAACATAGTTAATAAATCAAATTTTATATTATTCAAGCTTTAATTTCTTAGTTTTAAAAGAAAATATTTAAATAAATTCTCAATCTCCCCCTTGTTTGTGTATCATAACATTTGTTTACTCAACTTACCCATCCTCTTTGCTTCATCAACCTCCTCTCTAACATCTTGAAGTTAATTACTCATAGTATAGATATTACTTAAATATAGTTTAATGTTTATAGTGTTTACAAAGATATTAACTAGATTCAGATCCAACTATCACATCCTCTTCTTTTCATCAATCCCCCCGTCTAACATCTTGAAGTTAACGATAATTACTCATAGTATAGATATTACTTAAATATAGCTTAATTTTTATAGTGTTTACAAAGATATAAACTAGATTCAGATCCACCTTCCACGTCCAACTATCACATCCTCTTCTTTTCATCAATCCCCCTGTCTAACATCTTGAAGTTAATTACTCATTGTAGTATAAATATTACTTAAATATAGTTTAATGTTTATAGTCTTCAGTTTACAAAGATATAAACTAGATTCAGATCCACCTTCCATGTCCAACTATCACATCCTCTTCTTTTCATCAATTCCCGTCTAACATCTTGAAGTTAATTACTCATTATAGTATAGATATTATAGTTTAATGTTTATAGTCTTCAGTTTACACAGATATAAACTAGATTCAGATCCACCTTCCACGTCCAATTATCACATCCTCTTCTTTTCATCAATCCCCTGTCTAACATCTTGAAGTTAATTACTCATTATAGTATAGATATTACTTAAACTTAAATATAGTTTAATGTTTATAGTCTTCAGTTTACAAAGACATTAACTAGATTCAGATCCAACTATCACATCCTCTCTTTCACAAACTGCCAACAATTTTCTCTAATGTTTCCTATTACATTATTTATAGCCAATGGAAAGACAGTTTTAATTTACTGAATGAGATATAACGCTACCTTGTTCTTGGTAGGCATTTGTAGTTATTTTGCCTACAGATTAAAAGTTACCATTGCAGATCAAGTAAGTACCTAATGGAATTACTTAAAGCAGTTATGCCTTACTTAGGAAGCCAGTTAAATTATAATAATCATAGGAGAATGTTTTCTTTATATGTGTTATTATTTTGTGTTCGTAAGTTCATACTTGAAATAAATAAAAATGTAATATACTAGTACTGCCATTACAAAGAAAGTAGGCTTAAGTTTCATTGGTGGACTGACAGCAAAAAGAGGCCAAATATATGTACTGACTTTCTCATTTTTTAATCATTTTTATTAGGTTACATAGGATAGATTAGATTTCTCTATGAAGTACACAGGTGAGTAGTTTGTGCATTATGTTATTCAATACAGTAACTTGACCTACTTGATTTAGTTTGTGTTATAGGATTATTAGTTAGACATGGTTCAAAGAGCAATAAAATAATAAAAACTTAACAGAAACAAATGTAGAATGTTACAAAAATTGTAGTTTTCTTTTAAAATCTGCAGTTATTCTAGCAATTAGAAAAGGTTAATTCAAATTTATTCTACATTTTTTGTGGTGGTTACAAAGTCAGTCAAATTGTCTGAGTCTGTATAGGGTTATAGTAGAGAAAATAACAGATATAATTGAAATTTTTACTGAGAAAAAAACAAGTGTGACATTAATATAGAAAGTTTTAGAGGCTATGCAAATCACATTGTGAAAACAATAAGATTATTATATAGTATTTCTAATCTTAACATGAAAATCACCTTTCATTTGACTCCATATGTTCATGGACAAATCATTTATAAAAATACTTAATTAAAAAATCTGACTTCTAAAGGCTATTAAAAGCTTGCCAAATTTCATGAAGAAGAAACACATACCACATTTTTGTAGCATGGATACTTTCATGGTTATCTGATGGTTACAAGGTCGGTCAAAATAACCAAGCCTGTATCGAAAGAGTTCAAGTAATTAGAAATTCTGAAAGTTTCAGACTAGATCCCATGAAACTACAAACACAGCTTTAGCTTTTAATGAATTAAAAAATTAAAAGACAATAATATTACCTGCCCATGTGTACGAAGGAAGCTCGGATACCCCCAGGCCCATTGGACTCTCCTTTTATGGTCAGTGCCTGAATAGCATAGCGATGAAACAAACCATGTCCCCCAGTTGGTAGGCCTGTAGCTTGAAGAGCCACCATTGACATCAGTGTCGAAAAAGCTTGTTTCCATCCCTTCCAACTTTCTGATTCAACGGGATTAGACTACGAAAACAATTAAAATCTGTCGTCTGTAACAGTGGACCTCAATACAAAAAGTTAAAACTGATATTTGTTAAATCAAACATTAATAATACCTAACTTCTGTTATACAACAATTAATTAGGAGTATATAACAATCAATTACATGCCACTCCCTAACAACAGCAGCAAAGCATTTCTTATTAACAATGTCATTTGATATACATCCTTCTTACTGTTATCAGCCTAATACAAAACAATTCCAAATACAGTGTCTTTACCTCAAACATGGATAAGATCACATAGGGTATGAAGTCTCCATTACTTAAATTACACAAATGTCTCTTCTCCGAACGTTACCCTTTCTTGACTGGGGAGAGTTACCAACATTTGTTGAATTTTTCCTTCTCACAATGGAAATACTTAACCAAACTGCATTAAACTTAGCACAAACTTACTAAATAGTATCTAGTTTTGGCTTTAAAAAAAATCATATATTTGAATTGGTTTTCTTATCGTTTTGTAAGTTGTGAAATTTCCAACAGCTAATGTTGATCAGAAAGGTTAATTTCAACTTTTCTGATTTTAACTGATGTATTTCATTTGAAATTTTATTTTGCAAATTACAGTACTTACTTCTGACTATAAATACTAAAAAATCAATGGATAAAAAATGTATTGGTGCCTTGAAACTTGACCTATCAAAATTGTGTCAGGTCAGGCTATATAACAATTGAAATCAATTTATATCTAATAAACTGATTTCAATTGTTTTCAATAAATTAAAAGTTATTTTATTTATGTGCATTGTTTGAATATGATAAAACGTATTCTACCATTGCTACCAGACTCTCTAAACTTAATAACTCTTACCTGATGTTTTGTCATAAAAGAAAATTGCCATAACTTTCACACACAATCATTTTCAGTAATAAAACATCTCTAGTTAGTTCCTCGTTCTTCTAAACATCACGTTAAATTCCACTGTTGTTCTCAGCACCATCTAATTGTTTTCTTACAATACCATAAGTTACTTCTCACGTCCCTTAATTCACTTTACAGTGAAGGGAATAGTTTATGATCTGATTTATCAAGTGGTATTTAAACTTTCACTTTAGCTATTCTTAAAACTACTTTATTAGTAGCTGTTCTGTCGATTTAATGACCTCATGACACGTGATGTGAAAAGAAGACTGTTTTAATAAACCTTGTGACAGAGAAACAAGACTTGGTTAATTGTACCAGAAATGGAAATCTTTGGGATGGGCAGAAAAATTCTAAAAAAAATGTCAACGGGTGCATTGTTTACATGCAAGACTTGTTGAAGCAGAAATAGAGTTTGAACATTTTGAACATCTGTTTTTGCAATTATACTAAATAAACGGTGTAAAATAAAATAATTATAAAATATTCTGTAATATAAAATGGATGTAGAATTATTATTTTAAATTAAATTTTGAAATTTCATATACAGTTGTGCACTCTGAAAGGTACTCACTCAGCATGATGGGATTAATATTATAATGAAAAAAAATCACATCCTGTCACATCAAGAACAAATTACTGTATTTATTTCCTCAATTCTGTAATTATGGAGTACTTACAATTACAAGTATTAGAGACTTTTACATTTGAAGTTAATCAACCTACAAAAACACGGTGTTAGATTACTTTTAACCTGTTCTCAATTGTCTTAATAAATCAATTTACCTTCTGATGAAAAGTGGAAGGTACTGACTCCCGCGTACTGAGTTCTACAACAAGGTTAAAAAGATCTAAGTTCGGAAGTTGTCCATTCTGTCCTTCAATCTTGACATCAAAATGAGAGATCTTATCGCTGTGAATCTCCAGATTTATAGCAGCTTGGATTGCTCCACTTCTTCCTTCTAACTCTCCACTGTCCAGGACTTTAAACAAATCAAAGATGACAAAAATAGAAAGTAACATGAGTGAGAATTTAAGCCAGCTTTTACAACAAAATTGTAGATTATTTTTCTAAACATATTTCCAATAACTATCCAGATGATTAGGGATACAACATACATTTCCTTCAATAGAAGTCAACCCTAAATTTGTAAATCAGAATATGTTGAAAAAGATAACAGATAAAGTTGTTTCACAAGCACACACTACATCAACACCAAATCTGCTGAAAACTTACTTTACATAAGTACAACGAGAAACAATTCAAATATATTATTATTATTGTGTGTGTGCTTCAATCCAATCTTGTGCTTTATTATTTTATGTATATAGTGATAATTTCATGTAATGATAAACAAATAAAAGTCAAAAACATTAACATTAATAAAAAAAATGTGATAAAATAAAATATTCAGTTCTCTTTAATAAGTGATATTTATAAAGAAAATGTATAAATTTACCACCAGGTGCTGTTTTAGAGTTGTGGTATGCATCTAACCAAGCTTGAAATCCAACCAGTTCATGTTCTGTCACCAGAAATATTATGTCTTTAGCCCAGTACAGTTGTCCTGTTAAAGTAAAAATGGTCTGGGTAAGAGACACCAAATGCACAAGATATATAATAATTGATCTTTTTCTAAGAAATGTACTTACTTGTTTACTGACACATGTTGGTTAGTTTTAAATATAAAAATATTTTCTCAACTGAGAAAAAACTGAGTCCATGAACAAGGAATAATATCAAAAAACAGATCTGGAATACTAAGACAAGAAGTGAGGAAAAAATTAGTTTTTAGGTTATTTATGACCAAATTCCTTTAAAAAATATTTTAATGATGGACTTGGTCAAATTTCTTGGGTTTTCAAACATATTATTTTGGAAAATAAAAATCTGCATGTTAACGAAATAGAAAAGTTTCATAACACTTTCAGTTAGACATCTAGATCTTAACCATATAAACTTCTTGGTTTCCTATCAAAACTAAATGCTGATCTCGGTAACAGATCATGAGTGAAGGTTATTTATTATTGGCATAACAATATTTTCTCTGATGTAAATATAAGGTTTCTGTAAAAAAATATACATGCACTAACTTCGAAAAAATTTGGCCAAAGACAGCATAAGAGCAATGCCAGGAAGGGTGCTGCCATGCTGGTTTTCTGGTGTTCGGTATGGTACTGATAGAAGTATAGCCTCCGTACTTGCTGCCCTTGGAGCTCTCAAAATGGCATAAAGGTTCTTTCCTGTAAAATTCTATGTTGAAGGATAGGCTCAGATTACATTTATTTAACATAGTACGTAATGTACAGAAGTAAGCTGTTATCATATGTCAGAAGTACTTTTAATTCTCTGTGAAATTAATCTACTTATTGTTATATGTGAAATATAACAGACAATATTAAATGATTACTTAAATTGAAAAGATATAAGCTGATGTTGGTAACAAAATCCATATAGAAACCAGTAGAGAATTTCAGTTTTAAATAAATTCAACCTAACTGGTCCAGGCATAGAGATTGACAACCATAAGTAGCTGATGTGTGACAAATAAACAGGTGTTTATACAAACAACATACTAACACATTTAGTTTCACTACTACTACTAGAAATACCTTTTTACATTCACCACACTCAAACAATCAATTACTTTCAAAACACTAAAACTGATAACCTTCATCAAACCAACACAACCGCTAACCGTCATCACACAAACACAGCCGCTAACCTTTCACAATACCAACACAACTGATAACCTTCATCAAACCAACACAACCGCTAACTGTCATCACACAAACACAGCCGCTAACCTTTCACAACACCAACACAACCGATAACCTTCATCAAACCAACACGACCGATAACCTTCATCAAACCAACACGACCGCTAACCTTCAAACCAACACGACCGCTAACCTTCAAACCAACACAACCGCTAAACTTCATCACACCAACACAACCGCTAACCTTCATCACACCAAAACAACCGCTAACCATCATACCAACACAATTGTTAACCTTCATCACACCAACACAACTGCTAACCTTCATCACGACAACACAACTGCTAACCTTCATCACGACAACACAACTGCTAACCTTCATCACGACAACACAACTGCTAACCTTCATCACGCCAACACAACTGCTAACCTTCATCACGCCAACACAACTGTTAACCTTCACACCAAAACAACTGCTAACCATCACACCAAAACAACTGCTAACCATCACACCAAAACAACTGCTAACCATCACACCAAAACAACTGCTAACCATCATACCAACACAATTGTTAACCTTCATCACACCAACACAACTGCTAACCTTCAAACCAATACAACTGCTAACCTTCATCACGACAACACAACTGCTAACCTTCATCACGACAACACAACTGCTAACCTTCATCACGACAACACGACCGCTAACCTTCATCACACCAACACAACCGCTAACCTTCATCACACCAACACAACTGCTAACCTTCAAACCAATACAACTGCTAACCTTCAAACCAATACAACTGCTAACCTTCATCACGCCAACACAACTGCTAACCTTCATCACGCCAACACAACTGTTAAACTTTATCAAACCAACACAACTGTTAACCTTCATCACGCCAACACAACTGCTAACCTTCATCACGACAACACAACTGCTAACCTTCATCACGCCAACACAACTGTTAACCTTCATCACACCAACACAACTGTTAACCTTCATCACACCAACACAACTGTTAATCTTTATCAAACCAACACAACTGTTAACCTTCACAACACCAAAAATGCTTACTTGCACTACACCAAACTGTTTACTTTCAATATACTAACATAAAAAATTACTTTCATAAAACAACATAAATGTGCACATGAAAAAACTTTCCTGAGAACAACCAAAAGCCTGTAAAAATAAGAAAACAGTGTAAGGAATTCTCAGAAACTCTGTTTATTTTTTTATGTTTCTGTTTCAGAATGTTTTTGGAGATATCAGTAAAGTTCCTTTGCTGTTTCAACAAAATGAAGAGTGCCTTGGTCATACTAGAATGTGTATAAGCCTTCATGCCCAGTGCCTTGGTCATATTAGAGGGTGCATGGGCCTTCATGCAGAATGAGAAAGGCCTCAGAGAAAGTGAAATCTGGCAAACATGTCAAAATAGACAATCGAAAGGGCTTTTATTAAGCAATGTGAAAATTAAAGCAGATTTTTGTAAGGGCAAAAAAAAGCATATTAACCTGAACATAATCTTAATCTTTATGGCATAAAAATATTCCAACATCTCTCCACTCATTTTAGTGAGATTTTACAGAATTGTAGCTGTTATAGGTGAGTGGCATAGATCGGGCTGACTAGTTGTATCTACTAGCATCCATCCACTGTCTGAGTAAGTAACATAAATACTGCCAGCCACCCCCAGTCCAACCCTTATGACTGGATTTTGTTCTTATATTAGTCAATTTTTATTTTTTTTCAGTTTGTGAATGCAGCTGGAATTTTTGCCAGTAACCATTAAACTAACTGCTAAATATATGCCACTGGCAAAAAAAAAAATTGTCATCAAAATAATTATTTACTTTCAAGACACCAATATGTATCCAAACTGTTTACTTTCACCACACCAATATGTATCCAAACTGTTTACTTTCACCACACACACAATTTTTTACTCTCATCTGCTTATTGTCAAAACTCCAACACAATTGTTTACTTTTATCATACCAGTGATACAATTGTTTACTTTTATCATACCAGTAATACAATTGTTTACTTTTATCATACCAGTAATACAATTGTTTACTTTTATCATACCAATGATACAATTGTTTACTTTTATCATACCAATGATACAATTGTTTACTTTTATCATACCAGTGATACAATTGTTTACTTTTATCATACCAGTAATACAATTGTTTACTTTCTATCATACCAATGATACGATTGTTTACTTTATCATACCAATGATACGATTGTTTACTTTTATCATACCAATGATACGATTGTTTACTTTTATCATACCAATGATACGATTGTTTACTTTTATCATACCAATGATACAGTTGTTTACTTTTATCATACCAATGATACAGTTGTTTACTTTTATCATACCAATGATACAGTTGTTTACTTTTATCATACCAATGATACGATTGTTTACTTTCACCATACCAATGATACGATTGTTTACTTTCACCATACCAATGATACAACTGTTTACTTTACTACCATACCAATGATACTATTTTTTACTT